GTTTGGTTTAGTCTGTTTACTTTACTTCCGAGGGAGATTTAATTTACCTTATCTTTCAATCTTCTTCAGGAAGTTTTGATTTCTATTACTGTGATTTTCTTTTCTAAGAAGTCATTATTCTAAGAAAGAAAAAAGATGTCACTGTTGCTGTTGCCCCTCTCCAATGTTCCTTTGCATAGCATCCTGTTCTTGTTTCATGGATTTGAGATAAGATGCCTTCTCTTATCTCTCTAAGGATATTAACAATTTTGGGGGAAGCCTTTTCTCTCCAAATAATTCATCTTCCCTGGGTCACTGACAGTTTGTTTGATCCATTTGCCTTTCTCCTGAATGTCTGGTATCCTTATCTGTTGGCCATGATCAAGAGGAGCTGGTCTCAGGGTGGACGTGCTGCTTTAGGGTGATTGATCTATTGCTGCAGTTCTATGTCAGTATCTTCAGGTCTGGGGCTGGAGAAATAGCCTGGAGTAGTCTTTTACTTTGACAAGCTGTGGGTCCAGAGTGCCCCGGCTTTCCGCATTTCCAGTATGGTATCTCCACTCACAACGGTGCTGGAAGCTTCCCTCAGCTAGAAGAACCCGCCAGAGGAATATTCTCCATGCCGGCATAGGGCCCTACCAGTTGCCCCGGAGCTTGGAGTTCTGGAAGAGATCGAGGGCCCTAACATCCCTTTTTCAGTTGCCATCAAATGTATTCTTACTCGTGGCAACCCCATCTATGTGTGCCACAGCAGAACTGTTCTCTGTCGGGTTTTCAGCGACTGGATTTTGGCCATAGATGGTCAGGTGTTTTTCCCAAGGTGTCTCTAGGCAAACTTGAATCTCCAACTTTGAGGTTTGCAAAAGGCACTTTAACTATTTGCACTAGGAGCTCCTGGAATGCCTAGTTTCTCTTAGTTTCACACCCTCTCCACCCACAGTTCCAGAGATACCTTGAACTACCAGCTCTGCACCTCCCAGAATCCAGCCATGTCAATTAAGGTGTCCCTCATTTTAAAAAAAATCATTTTATTAGGGGCTCATACAACTCTTATCACAACTCATGCATACATCAATTGTGTAAAGCACATTTGTACATTCATTACCCCAATCATTCTCAAAACATTTGCCACTTAAGCCCCTGGCATCAGCTCCTCATTTTCCCCCTCCCTCCCCGCTTCCCTCTCCGTCATTAACCCTTGATAATTTATAAATTATTATTTTGTCATATTGCTACTTTGGTCTGTCTTTCCTTGAGCTGCAAAGACAGTAACCACGTGGCTGTCTCTCCTGACCCTGCCAGCGATTCCGTTACTTTTGTCCCCTTTCTTGTCTCCTTGTCCTCAGATGCTTATATCTTGGTTTAAAAATCTCTTTACTGGAGTTTTAGTGGAGTTCTGGGAAGGTCTAAGATGAGATGAATGTATTCAATCGCCATCTTAACTCAGAACTCTGGCTTCCCGTTGTGATACATTTTGGAGTGTAATTCCTGGGTAAGCCCTGCTTGGCCACGAGGAGTGCTATAGAATGCACAGGGGGTCGTTCATTTCTTCCTTTCCTCTTGCAAGTCTTTATTGAACATGATTAGCAGGAAATGAACCTTTCTAAGAGAAGGATTCAAGGAAAATGTCCCCAGCGGGAGAGCTTTTATTAAGTATAATAGAAAAAACCGGGGGCTGAATCAGAGCAGACAGCCCCTAAAGGACTGGAGGTGGGGGTGGAGATGGGGAGCCCTCCTGAGAAGGGACCTCCAGAGACCCCTGAGGAGGCTTTGTTTAGGGACTCAACATAAGCTCCAGGCTGCACCACTGACAAACCAGTTTGGAGGTGGGGGTGGGGGCACGAGTGCTCCTTCCCTCAACTGGGGGACTCTGACAGAGACTGTTCCACAGGCCTTTCTGAAAAGCAACCCACTGTCCAAATGGGGCCCAGAGTCATGCATTTATTTATTTATCAAAATCCATTGAACAGCTACCATGAGTTAAATGCTATGACAACAAAATCAAAACAAGCAAAGACACCCCCCACCCCCCACTGTGTTAGTCTTGATAGACTAAAGAAACAAATTCATAAACGTGCATATGTGAATAAGAAAGAGGTTTATATACAAGAGCAATTGAATATTGAGAAAACATCTCAGCCCAGTCCAGATCAACTCCATAAGTCCCATATTAGTCCATAGGTCCATACCAATCTATAAAGTCCTCTTCAGACTCACAAAACACATGCAATGATGCCGAATACAGGAAGATCACAGGCCAGTGGGTTGGAAGTCTTGTGGATCCAGTGGTGTTTAAGCATCTCAGGGCTGGCAGGGGTCTCTACGTGGCTTCTCGGGCTCCAGAGGTCTGGTTGCATCAGAGTAGGTCCATGTGGCTTCTTGAGCTCCCAGGCATAGCACCATGTGTCTTGTCAGTAGAGCATCTCTCAGGGAGGGAGTAGAGTGGGAGAGAAGTGTCTCCCGCCTCCAAGGAGGAAATGCAGGAGTTCCCAGAATTCTCAGGAGAAGGCCATGCCCATACAGAGGCCTCATTGGTTATATCTTGATTGACAGGCCAGACGCCACCCCTTCACTCATAATCCTCTCAAACTGACACCAGATTATGTAACGACCAACCCACCTCCCACAAAGCAAAAACAAAACCATGGCTGTAGATTGGATTCTGACTCCTAGTGGCCTGTGTGCATCAGAGTTAGACTGCACCCCTTCTTTCTGACTCCCGGTGACCACACTCCCGGTGACCATAGAGTTTGCCGTGGCTGCCATAGGGTGGGGGTGGATTCCACTGCTGGCCTGTAGCAAGCTCTTTGCACTACCCTGCAGGGTGCTAAGCTAGCCCTCACACAGTAGGACAGCTGAGTTTTGAGGGCATCCTTTTTTATCCTTTCCTGATTAAAGAGTGATGTCGTTATTAAAAAATCTAACAGGTTACCACAGACTGCCACAAGAACCCACAAATCTGTGTCGGAAGAAGTACAGTCAGACGGCTCCTTAGACGCCAGGCTGGTGAGAGACTTTGTCTCAGGTGCTTTGGACATGTTGTTCGGAGAGCTCGGTCCCTGGAAAAGGACATCGTGCTTGTTAAGTAGAGGGGCAGCGAAAAAGAGGAAGGCCCTTGGCAAGAAGGATGGACGCAGTGTCTGTAACAAAGGGTTCGAAGAGAAGAACAATTGTGAGGACGGTGCAGGAGCGGTGGTGCTTTGCTCTGTTGTACATCAGGCAGCTGTGAGTCAGAATCGACTTGGTGGCGCCTGACAACAACTGCCAAGATTAGAATACAGGAAGGACTGCAGTCATTGGTCAGCAGCAGCACCTCTCCTCAGCCAGGAGCCACGTTTCTCTGTAGTCCTCAGACCCGCTGCCATGTGGTCCCCTGGCTTCTGTCTCTGAGCTACGAAGTCAGTCGAGCCTGCTGCTCCACTGTTCTGTCTCCTCCCCCTCTGCCCCGGTACCTCTGGGTGCCTCCACCCCTCCAGACAGATCTTGAATGTGCTTCACTGGGGGGCTCTTCTGCCAACCCAAACCAAGCCAGACTCATTGCCCTAGAGTTGATTCTGACTCATAGCGACCCCTGTGGAACCAGGTAGAACTGCCCTGTGGGCTTCTGAGACTAACTCTTCAGAACTAGAAAGCCTCATTCTTTTCCTGGGGTCTGAGATTTTTGGCTCAGGATGGCTTTTTACAGTGGGGGGGCGGGCGGGGGGACCTCAGGTGTTCTCTGCCCTCTTGATACCTTTAAACACTAGAACTTGGGTAGGACTTTTGAAAGGATCTGAGCCTCCAAACATCATAAAGGAACCAGCACTACTCAGCCCAGTCACTAGTGCAGCACCACAGGGTCCATGAAACGCTCTGTGACCGCCTGTTCCACGCATGTCATGCTTTGCCCGCGATTCTTGTCCAGTGAGGCTGCACACGGTCTGGGAATATTGTTCTCCACTACGCCCTGTTGGAAACAGGTGGGAACCCTCCTCTCACCAGCAGCTTAGCTCAGGGTTTCCTCCAGGAAGACAGGTGGGCACCTCCAGGGACCTTTGAGATCAGTTGGAGTAGAAAGACGTGTTGCACCTGGATTGATATTTAGCAGCTCACCTGTGAGCCGTCAGAGGGAGGGACCCCGAGGAGCAGTACAATGACGCAAACCCACCAGGGTAGGCAGAGACTGGGTCCAAATCCCTCTGGGCCAACCTAGGTCCTCTTGGGCAAATGCGGGCAACATCTTGGGCAAATGCAGGCATTTCCCTGTCTGCACAGTGGGAACAGCGTCAGCCGTCCATGGGGCTGTGGAGAGGCGGACGAAATAAAAGCCCGTGGCCTCAAACCCTGGCACCCAAACCAAAGCCTTGCTAGCTGGCTAGATGGCGGGTGCGGCAACCCCGTGTGTCCCGAGAGTGGAACGGCTCCATAGGGCTTCTCTGCGGTAACCTTCCGGCTCTCCAGGTCGATCTTAAGTGGGGCGCTGAGCTGGTGGTTTCGAACTAACAGCCTTTAGGTTAGTGGTCAAGCGCCTACTGCGTGCGCCATCCAGGGGGCTCTACCCGTGGTGGTTGTGGCTTTAGAAACCGAGTGGCTTTTAGCGCCAGGGTGCCATCTGGGGCAGACTGGTGGAGGGGCGGGGGAGAGGTGTGGGTGTGCGTGTGTGTGCGTGCCTGTGTGTGTACCCACGCGCGCGCGCACGGGCGGGGGCGCGCCCTGGGCCTGCGGTGTGTTTCCCAGGAAGCGTGCGGGGAGCTGAGCGCCGGCCGCCCGGCGTGCTGGGTTGCGGTGCGGGCTGAGCCGAGCGCCCGCGCCGCCGCGGTGATCTGCGGGCAGGGTGGCGGAGCGGAGCCGGGCGGACCGCGGGCGGCGGGCGGAGGGAGCGCGGGGAGGGGGGGGGAGGGCGGGCCGGCCGGCCGCGCGCGGGGCTGCGGAGCCGGGAGGCGGTGCCGCGGACGAGCCGAGGGTCGTCGGGGCCGCGAGCTGCAGCCGGGGCTCCGGAGAGGACAGCGAGGCTCCGCCGACTCAGCGCTGCCCAGCCTGGCCCCCGGGCCCCCGGGCCGCCGCTTCACGGAGGAGCTTGCGGGAGAGTGCGAGCGGAGCAGGTTGGGGGGCCGGGCTGGGGGGCGTGTGTGTGTGGGGGGTTGGCTCGCGCGTGTAAGTGGGGTGCGGAGCATGGAGGGGCGTGCGTGTGGGGATGGCAGCGCGTGGCTGTCTATACAGTGTGTGAGTGTGTAGGGGTGTGCTTCTTGGTGACTGTATGCTGTCTGCCAAGGCGCGCACGCGGATGTGTGTGTGTGTGTGTGTGTGTGTGTGTGTGTGTGTGTGTCCACGAGCGAGAGGACAGCCGGCAGACACAGAGAGAGAGGCTGCTGGGAGCCTGGAGCTTGGGTCAGAACCTGTGTGCATGTGTGCGCGTGCACATGTGTGCAGGGGTTTGTGAAGGGTGAGTGGGAGAGTGTCACGGGTGCTAGGTGTGGCCCTGTGTGTGATGTATGGGTGCCGGTGCATGTGTGTTCCCTCCCTCTCCGTCCCCTCCCCCCACCAGATGTGTGTGCTGGGGCGCTGGTAGAGGGGAAGAGCCGGCCTGCCTTTTCCAAGCTGCCCCTCCCCAGATACTTCTAGGGTCTGGGGTAGGGGCGTGGTTGAGGGGACCCAACCCTGCCTACCAGAGCTCCCCTCAGCTCTGCAGGCTCTTAGCCCTGCCCTCCGCCCTCCCAGGGTCTGTGACAGGTCTCAGATCAGAGCTGGGGGTGGGTGGGGGCAGGACTAGGTTTGGCCCCATCAGGGAGTGAGGGTTTGCTTGTTCACAGCTTGCAGGGCGCTTGTCTGCCTCAGTGGAAATTTGGGGATGCAGGAAGGAGGGGAAGGGAGGGGGACTGAGTTTAAGCCCACCCTGTGGGGTAACTAAGTCCTAGCTCATGCTGTGGGGTAATTGAGCAATGCAGTCTGGCCCAGCCCCAGGCCAAGCAGGTGGGGGCAGGGGTGGCCAAATGCAGAGCCAGCATGTCACCCTTGCCTTAGGCAGAACTTTGCATGCCCCCACCCCCACCCCACCGACATGGGATCCTGGAAAGGGATGGCCCCAGCCAGTGCTCATGAGTCTCTCCTTTATCCAGGACCCTCGAGCTCAAAGGTGCTGAAGACCTGCGCCCACCCCACGCTTGGTGCTTCCCCTATCCCCAGGCCTGGCTCCCGCTAGAGGTGTAAGGCCATGGCCAGCTGTGGCTGCCTGGGGCTAGGGCTCTTCTGCTGGGCCCTGCTAGCCGTCCCTGTGGGCCCCCAGCTGGCCCCCCCAACCCCGGGTGTCACTCTCAACACTTTGAGCCCCCCACCTCAGAGCGAGGCCTCGATGCTGTCGCTCAACCTGGGACTTAACTTCAAATTCCACCTTCGGGGACCGGCTGCTGCCTGGGGGAGCCCTGTCACCGAAACCCAGCGACTACCTCCTGGACTGGGCCGGGAGCCAGAGGAGGAGGAGGTGGCCAGTGGGCTGAGGATGGATCCCCTTTGGGAACTGCTGGTGGGCTCTCTGGGGAGCTCTCCCCCTGAGTGGGGCTCTGCTGAAGGCAGCTCTATGCCCTGGGCCTCCTCCCTGCCTTTGGCATCCACATCCCCGCTCTCTGGGCCCCAGGCCCGGCCCACAGCTCCCTCCCAGCCCCAGATGGGCTCTGTGACCTGGGGCACTGCCCTGACAGCCACAGCACCTCCATTCAGTGCACCCAGGCCCCACCAGAGTGAGCTGGAACTGAAGTTTGACATGGCAGTGAGAGCCGGTGCCGCCCCCACGCTTGGGCACCGGACGTTGCCCCTGCTGCCTAGCCTACGGGCCAGTTTGGCAGAGATTGCTGGGCGCCTGGGACCTTTTGGTGAGTACCCTCTCCTCCTGAGGGGAGCTCCTGCTAGATGGCCCTGGCAGCAGCTGCTTCAGCAGGGCTCCTTTGGCAGGGTTCTTTGGCACAACTCTGTCACCCCTCCGGAACGTCTCAGGACCGAGCCTCCCAGGTGCAACAACACTCCCAAACTCTGCCTCTGGAGTTTCAGAATCCCCAGGTGAGTGTTGGTTTCAACACATGTTTAGGCAGCCAGGGCCTCTGCCTGCAGTGGTGGTCTGGTGGTGAAGCCTTTGTCTTGCATGCAGGGGACCCAGTTTGATTTCCAGACAATGCGCCCCAAGCACAGCCCAACCACCCCCATCTGTCAATGGAAGCTGGAGTGTTGCTCTGATACTGAGCACATTTCCCGCAGAACTTCCAGACAAAGACAGACTAGGAGGAAAGGACTGGGGATCTACTTATGAAGATCTCAAACCAAGACCACAGTCACTACCACTGGGTCCATGCCAACCCATGGTGACCCTCTAGGGCTGGGTCTGTAATTCTTTCTGGGACTGTAACTGTACGGGAGTAGAAAGCCCCTCCTTTCTCCTGAGGAGTGACTGGTGGTTTCAAACCGCTGCCCTTAGCACCCCAATGTGGAACCACTGTCACTACACCATCTGAGCTCAGCCAAAGAAAACCCCAAGAATCGTTCATAATGGTTGGATCCTGTTGTTTGTGCAGTCCCTTAACACAACAGCAGCCAACAATGATGCTGCATGCTAAGCCCTGAGCTCAGGGCCTGCCCAGCCCCGCCCTTTCCTCTGTGCCTCTGTGGATGCCTGCATTGTTCTCTTGACTGGCACAGGGGCCCCTGCTCTTGCAGGGTAATGTCCTCCCTGCCAGGCCCAGGCTGGCTCCATCCTTGCTGGCTGAGCGCTGGCGTGCATGCAGCTAGCCTTCGTGGGATAGTGGCATTCATGGGACCAGTACAGACAAGGGCAGGATGCTCTCCGAAGTCCCAGCCCAGCAGGGAGGGTGGCAGCTGAGTCCCTGTGCTCCCTCACAGGGTTCTTTGGCACCACGCTGTCCCCATCCTCCCATCCTCCAGAGAGGAAGCTGTCCAGGCTGAGCCTGCTGGATCCAGCTGCCTCCCTGAGCTCTGCCACAGTTGCAACAGAGTCACCAGGTAAGATTTCCTTTCACGGGAACTCAGCACTTTTTGACTGAGCACCTATTACATGCTAGCCCCTTTGGGGATCCTTTTATTTCATGGCCATCGCCATGTCATCCCCATTCTCTTCCTCCTGACGGTGGACAGAAATATTCCTGGTCTGAGACCCAGCGTGGCTGGAGAAGGGCCTCGGAGCTGAGTCCTCTGAAGGTTTCGCAGTCACAGGCCAACAGAGCAGGAGGTAGTGGATCAGGGGCGCACAGCACTGACCTCCAGTCAATCTGGCCCGCCACTCCACCCCACCCCCACCCCCACCCCAAGCTGGGGGCTCTCTCCTTTGCATCTAATCTGACTTGATGTGCTGTTGGCCCTGAGCAGAGCAGGGCCTAGGCCACTCACTGGGAAGACACTGAAGAGAGTGCCTTAAACAGACAGGTGCCACCCTCAATCAAGGGAGTCTTGCACCCAGACGAGCGAGCTGGTGGTGCAGAGGAGGCCCCTGAGCTCTGGAATCTTGCAGACCTGACGTTGAGTCTTAGTGACTAGCTGAGGTTCCTTAACCTCTCTGAGCCCGAGTCTTCTCATCTATACAATAAGCCTATTGCCATCACGTCGACAAACTCACAACAAACTCATAGCAAACTCATGTGTGTCTAACGAGACCTGGGCTCTGTAGGGTTTTCAAAGGCTGAGTTTTGGTGGGGGGAGTGGGATTGATCATCAGGCCTTTCTTCTGAAGTGCCTCTGGATAGGCTTGAACTACCAGCCTTCCTGTGAGCAGCCAAGTACACTCACCATTTGCACACCCAGGGACTGCCTTCCGTACAATAGGTTTTAATGGTTAGCAGCTCTTCTGCAGAGTTATGGTCATGCTTCCAGATAGTATAAGCAAACGGTGGACATCAGACCAGGCACAAGTTAGATGCTCACTGAATGATAGCCATTAACCTTGGTCTTTCTTCCACAGCTCCCACATACCCTTCCAGACCTCATGCTCAGACACCCCTGCCCTGGGGCCCTAGGCAGCAGTGGGACTTCTTGTCTACCTCAGAACACCACCCATAGAGTGAAGGGCCCATCTGCTGTTGGTGGGCGGGGAGGGGGACGGCTTTTGACAGATGAAGATGTGTGCCCAGGGCCTGCAGGGTCTGCTTTGCTTCTGTAGAAGGTTCACTTCGGCCGGGAGCCAGCAGAGGAACCCTGTGCCCCCTGCTCCCTTCAGCAGCAGATTTCACACGGCACCAGCGAGCTCACTAGCTCCAGCTTAGACTCTCTACGGTCCCTCTGGTTCCCATGCGCCCTTAGTGGGTGGCAGTTTCGGGTCTGCTGTGGGTTGGGGGACTGGCTCTATGCCTCAGGGGAAGGATGCTGGCAGCAGTGTGTCAGCCTGGGTGACAGAGATGGCTGGGCAGGTTTAATGAGTCTGGACAGTATCAGAGCGAGCCTGGCTTGGCAGACTGGCATCCTCCCCCCTTCACTGGGGCTGCGGGAACCCAGCCGCTTCCTGCCTGCTCCTCTTGGATAAACCCAGGAGGACTGGACTGCACATGTGGGAGCAGAGTGCCAAGCAGATGGGGGACCAAGGGAGTCTCTCCTCTAGAGCCTCACCAAGGTAGGTGAGGTTAGCCTTCAGCCCCTGGGGTTTCTCTCACATTAGGTGGGCATGAACAGAGCTGGGCTCTACCAGTACATATCAGGACAGCTGTCCAGTTGGCTAAAGTACTGAGACACTTCCAGACAAGTTGTTAGGGACCCACTGCCCTTGGTGCTCTGACACTCCTCCCCCCACCCTGGCTGGCTACTTCTGATTGATGGGTGCCCATGCCATATACCACCCCCACCCCAGAAGGCTATTATTCTCAATGACATGGAGGTATTGGGGCTGGGGGATGGAGACAGCTGAGGCTTCACAGTGGAGCAGGGCCACATCCCCCCACCCCTGCCCTGTGATCCAGGCTGCTGGCAGATTGACCCAAAAGTAGCCTGTCCCAGCCCATACCTCTCCCCAGCCTCCTCCTGCCTCACTGATGAGATCACCCACATGGACATCCCATCTCTGCCCTCCCCACCCCCCAGAGGTCAAGAGGGGCTTCAGGGCCACCTTGGAGGGAGGGTTGTTCAGGAGAGGGGATCTGGGAATGGGGACTAGAGATCCCTGTCTTCTGTGAGAAAAGGAAGGCTCCAGTGGGGTGCCAGGAGACAAATCAAGTGAACCCCTCAAAGACAAAAGCTGGGGTTTCTTCTCCCTGTCCCTACCCCCAGCCCACCTGCCCAGTTCTGGGAGCCTGGACTTGCTCTGAGCCCTGGGAATGAGCAGTGCTTCCCATTCAGAATACCCTTCTCTGAAGCCCAGGCTGTGCCTGTGTTTTGTCAAGAGTTCCTGGTAAACGGTGCCAGGGGGTTACACATTTAACTACCGAACTGACAGGCTGCTGGTTTAAACCCACCCAGAAGTGCCTTAGAAGAAAGGTCTGCTGATCTGCTTTCAAAAGGTCCCACCCTGAAAAGTTCTCTACGCTGCAGCAGGCTTGGTCCACTTTCTGGTTGGAATTCATTTCCTTCCTGGCTTCCAAGGAATACTGACGTTTGTTCTAGCGGCCACTGTGCTCTGGGACAGAGGTGAGAGATGGGCCCCTGGTGAAAAGTGAGGCTGGAAGAGGGCAGACCTCTGCGGATTCTGAGAGCCTGGACACATCGCCTCACTGAGCCACTGTACAGTCCTGTGCACTAGGCCTCCTACCCATTTCTGGTGTGAAGAAGGTGATGGAACCGACCCGGGCAAATGCTGCCATGTTCCTATAAGAGGCAGTGACAGGTGTTTCATTGTTGACCCCGCCTCGTCTGCCCTCCCCTCGTGTCTGATTCCATTGTCTTTTCTCTCTAAGCCAGAGCTTTCTGGCCCTTCCCTCCTATTCCCTGTTCTCAGGCCTGCTCTGTTGGGCATGTTCCCAGTGTGAGCGGGTGCCACCTGGGGTAGGGGTGTTCCTGGAATTTCCCTGGGGCTGGCAGGGCATGGCCAGGACAGGGCCAACAGAGCAGGCTTCTCCAGCATTCCACAACTGCCTCCAGTCCACTACACCCCCCCCACCCCCACCCCTGGCCCCTGAGGCTGCCCCCATCCTTCTCTACCTCTCTTTCTCTCTCCATTCGCCCCTGCATCTGGGGGTCTGCAGAGAGAGGCTCAGCCCCCAGCATCTTCCCTGACTTCCTGGTTCTGAAAAGAACCCAAGTTAACCTTTTTTCACTCACCTCTTGGCCCAGGCATCTTACTCTTTACCCTCTCTTGTCATGGTTGACTCCCACTTCCCCAGGTGGAAGGTGTTGGCGTACAGCGTGGGGCTGAGGGGCTGACTGAGCAAGCCCCAGAGTACCTGAGGGACTCACTCAGATCGCCTGAATTGCTCCTTCCTGAGGTTCAAGGGAAACCTCTGGGGGAAGCTGTTTTTAGGCCAGCGAGTCCATCTCAATGTCACCTTCTGTAAAATGGGCTAAGAACCAAAGGGCTCTTTATACAAACAGCCTTTGACCAATGGCTTTGTGGGTGAGTCAGGATCCAGTCCACAGCCACAGGGTTGAGAGTGTAGCAGGCAGGAAGACCAGTGAATAAGGAGAGGTGTGTTCTCCAAGTGCTGCAACAGGAGTGGTTTATCTCTCCTGCTGTGTGTGTATGTCTGTGTGTCTCTGTGTGTGTGTGTGTGTTTGTGTATATGTGTATATATATGTGTGCCTGTGTGTCTGTTTGTGCCTGTGTGGATGTGTATGTATGTGTGTATGTGTCTGTGTGTGTGTGAAGGGGGACAGTGTCTCCTGGCACCAGGGTTGAATGTTAGGGGCATAGAACAAGAAATGGGCAAACTAGTAGGGAGAGGTTTGGAATTCAGGGATGGGCTAGTTCAGACCAAGGCTCAGGCCTGCAGCCTAGCTATGGCTCTGACAATCTGTGGTCCTGGACAAGTATTTTGCCTCTTGGAACCTCAATGTCTTCATCTCGAAAACCAGTTGATCCGAGTACTTAACAAACCATTGGCACCATTTCAGTCACAGAGAAATGAGCCGAATGCAAACCCTTGTTCTCCAGTTGGGGGCCGGGTGGGGGCCTGAGCCCTGGTCTGAACTAGCCGGTGCTGAATTCCAAACCTCTCCCTTCTAGTTTGCCCATTTCAGTTCTAGAATCCTTTGACTTATTTAGGAAAACCACCCTGTTCTGCGGAAGCACACTGTGATACAGGGGAAGGAGCAACACAGGGAACTGAAGGGAGATGAGGTGGGAGTTCAAACCACAGGAGGAGCCTATGTAGTGGTTGCCTGGGAGTGGTGGGGGGATGGGGGAGAGGTCCTGTGTATCCCTTGCCTCCGTGGGGTTCTTTGCCCACAGACCCCACCTCGGGCCCAGATGACCCCTCTCCCACCGACCTCGACAACGCTTCTGCACAGCCAGAGTGTGGGCCGGAGCCCTGCGACCTGGGACAACCGCCCGATCCTGACCCGGAGCTGCAGCCTCCAGCGGCGCCACCGCTGCCGCTCTTCTTCCTGAGCCTCGGGGCCGACTGGGCCGAGGCCAGGGCTCGCTGGGGGCTGGCCTGGGAGGCCCACGTGTACGGCGTGGGCGCGCTCTTCGGCCTGGTGGCTCTGCTGGCCCTGCTGGCTCTGGCCCTCTTGCCCTGGCGTTGCCCTCCCGGGGCGCCCTGCCTGGCGCTGCTCGACCTGCTGCTGTTCTCGGCTGGGGCCACGCGGGCCTTCCCGCTCTTCTACGACGCCTACGGGCACCGGGCCCGGCTGCCCGCGCTGGCCTGGCTGCTGCTGCAGGACCTCCCGCTGCCCTGCCTGGCCTCCGGCCTGGGGCTGGCCTGCCTCCTGATGGCCCGGCCGCGTCCGCCGCGGTGCCCCGGCGGGCTGGCAGCGCTGCTGCTCCTGGGGCTGGGGCTGGCGGCCGCCGCCGCCCTGGGGAGCGCCGCGCACCGCCCGCTGCTGCCCCTGCGGCTCGCCGCCCGCGGTCTGCACGCCCTCCTGGCCGCCCTGCTCTCGGGGCTCCTGCTGGCTCTCTCCTGCTTGCGGGGCCGGCGGCGGAGGGCTGGGGCGCCCCTGGGGGGATCCGGCTTCAAGGGCGCCACTCCGCTCCGTCAGGCGCGCAGCCCCTTCGCCCCGCGGGAGTCGTGGCGGCGCGCGGCGCGCACGGCCCCGGTGGCGGGCACCTTTGGGCTGCTGAGCGGAGCCTTGCAGGGCTATGAGGTGCTGCACGCCCTGGGTTACGGCGGCCAGCCCGGCCTGGAGGGGCCCTGGCCCTGGTGGGCCTTCCAGCTGGGCCTGCGCCTTGGCGAGGTGGGTGTCGCCCTGCCCTTGGCCTTGCTGGGCCTCTACCCAGCGCTCTGCAGCCCGCGGGTGCCCCCGCGCTGCTGGGCCAAACTCTTCCGCCTGTCCCCGGGCCATGCGGCGCCGCTGCTGCCCGGGAGCTGGGGCCCGGGGCTCCCTGCCAAGGAGCCCCTGGGCAGCACCCTGGTGCGCGGCGGCGAGGCGGAGCTGCTGCAGCTGTGCGCCCTGGCAGGCCCGGGCCCAGACCTCCTGCTGCAGGGAGGCGGCTGCCGGGGCTTGGAGGGCAGGGCTGCCCACCCGGCCTCTTCGCATGCCTCGTCCCCCGGCAGCGACTGCACCGTGGACTTCCGGCCGCCCTCCCCGATCAACCTGCGGCGCAGCATAGAGGAGGCGCTCTGCAGTGAGGCCCTGCTGGCTCCAGGCCTCTTCCAGGGTCCCGCCTTCGGAGAGGCCCTGCCCGGGCTCGGCCTCTACCGCTCTGTCTCCGTGGGGCCCCAGGAGGGGTCGGCAAACAGCGGGAAGGCTGAGGAGGAGGCCCCCGCATCCCCCACGTCCCCAGAGCCGCCCTCTCCCGGGGCCTGGCCCGTGGGCAGCAGTGCTTCGTCGGGCTCCCTGTACGGACTTTCCCGGGACAGCTCTTCCATGCTGCTCTGCTCCAGCCCAGACAGACCTCCTCGCTGTCCGTTAGTCTGCGTCCTCAGCCCCCCACGGCCGGCCGCAAGCAGCCCCAGCCTCCCGGCCTCAGGCTCCTACCAGGCCCTGACCCCTCCATCCCGCGACTCCCCGGAGCCTGCCCGCCAGCTGCGGGCCGAGGAGGCCTTGCTGCAGGAGCAATTCCTGGACGCCTGCCGGCAGATCGATGAGCTGAGCATGGGCAGTGACACCGTTGACCTGTGAAGGGGTGGGCCCTCGCCGCCCCTCCCTCCTGCGCTCCCTCCCGGTGCCACCCTGCCCGAGACCTGCACACTGTAAGCCTCCCCAGTCCCACCGACTCAGAAGCTCGCCTGCCTCCTCCCGCATCCAGGGTCTCCTGGGTGGAGGAGGCCCGGTCAGCAGTTAGGCTCTGGTGATTGGGGACTAGTGCCACCTTCTCTGGAGCCCTGGGCACGGATGCCCCAAGCTGCAATTCTGGGCTGGCAGGGGATCCTACTGCCCTTGCCTCTCACCAGCAATAAAGGTCCAAGGTGCTTCACTGCCCACTCTGGTGCTGAACAGGAGTGGTTGGTTTTTGGAGGCTGTACCTGCCTTGAGCACCACCCCTCGAGGCCTACCTAGGAGCTGTTGCCCAAGTTGGGTGGAAGGCGAGAGCGTTCAGAGTTAATTTATCAATAAAATATTTTCAGAGGAGAAAGGTCTGACCTTTATTGGCAAGACTTAGGTAAGTCAACAGCCGTGGAAGAGTGGAAGAGAAGCAACCCTTGGGTGGGTGGGCCACCTCAGACTTGCACTCCCCTGCAGCGAGTAGATTCTGACTCGTAATGACCCTGTCGAACTGCCCCCTGTGGGTTTCTGACATTGTCACTCTTGATAGTAGAAAGCCTCATCTTTCTCTTGCCTCAGAGCAGTGGTTTTGAACTTGTGGTTAGCGTCTCAATGCCTAACCATTATGCCACCTGACAGGAGACAGGAGTCTTGTCCTGTGGCTGAGATTAGTGAACTCCTGGAAGTTCCCCATGAGGACCTTCTGACTATTTGGGAAGGGGCTTTTTCTAGAAATGGGACACAACTCCTGAAAGATGAGGCCTTCAGTGGTAATGCCTGTCCTGACAGGCCTGGCTTCCATTCCTGGTGGACAGCTGGCTAGAGACTAACGAGTGGCCGTGGTGCTGACCCAAGAGACCCCATACAGTTCAGAATATAACTAACTGTTCCACGGGGTTTTCAGGTCACCTGCATAGGCATCTGGGTGGTCTCAAAGCTTTCGTACCTTCAAGGCCAAGTGCTTTAATGGTTTGCATGCACCTCCCTGCCTAGGGACTAAAACCCACTGCTCTTCAGTCAATTTTGACTCATAGTAACCCTATAGGACAGCATTTCCCAGGCAGTAAGTCTTTGTGGAAGCAGACCACCTCATCTTTCTTAGGTAGATCCAGAGGGTTTGAACTGCAGATTTTGTGATTAGCAGCCCAATGGAAACCACTCCATCCCCAGGGCATCTTGAGGACAGGCTCCAGTAGTCAGTGAAGGAGATGTGGATACACATGCACAAGGACCTGGTTGCTCTGAGCTGGGATTCCCCAGCAATACCCCTGCCAGGTTTGCACAGCTTGGGGTTCATAAAGAGAAGGAGACCTTCTTCAACACCAGCAGGAGCTCTTCAAGGTAGGCTGGGCTCACACACACACACACACACACACACACACACACCATAAACCCAGCAGCAGCAGCATCTCCCATGGGTGCTGGTCCTTTCTGGAGAAAATCTGCCTTTCTCAGTCTCCACCCAGCCCCTACTCCCAGTTCCCAAGCAGAACTCCCAGTGCAGAGACCCGTGGCTAGGGCTCCATATCAGAGCATTGGGCTCTGAGCTGTGTGAGCCAGGGTGGAAAGGATAGCCAGGCAGGACTTTGGCAGGTGAGCCTCACCGCAAGGGGACCCTGCAGGCACACACCCTGGGCCTGATGTGGAAGGACAGGAGTCCAAGTGGGTTTCCTTCTAACTCTGCATGTCAGGCTTTGGGAAACCTAGAGGCAGACCAGGGGCCACTGCAGGGACCTGTCAGGGAGCAAAGCCGCTGCTCCCTTGCAGAGGAAGTTCGCTGCCTTGGCTGAAAGGAGGGGGAGGAGAGTCAGACAGTTTGGGGGTGGGAGGAGTGAGGGAGAGATGGAGAGGAGGGCAGTGAGGTGCAGGCACAGCTGAGGGGCGGGGACTGGTGCCTCCTCCATCACCCGGCTTGGCTTGGCTTGCCTCAGAAATTCTTGCTGCATCGCCACTCTGGGCTGAGGCCCAGGGAACTGCCAGCCTCCTAATTACGGCTATTTCTCACTGGTGTCAGAGTGGCCGTGGCTGGATGCTTTGGCACTGCTTTATGCCACGGAAGTAACAGCGCTGCTGCTCTGAGCAATCGCTCCTTCCCTTCCCTCTGGTCATCCTGTGCTCACCTGAGCCTCTGCACACTCCTCACCCTGGGCCCTGGTTCTCTCTCTCTCCTTTTCTGCCTGGAAGCTCTGGATGGGGCTAGTTAGGGCTGCGTGTATGTTGGATGCAGGATTTGGCTGCTAAACACAAGGTGCCCACAGCCTTTGGAAACCCCCTGGGGCTGTTCTCTGCCCTTCAGGGTCCCCATGAGTAGGAGGGGTCTGGGCCGGGTGGTGTTTATTTGTTTGTTTGTTGGGTGGGTGGGTGGGTATTCCAGATCCATCTTCACCAGCCCCAACCCTCCCTTTGCCTGGAGCTGCGGTTTTCCTCGGCAAGCATTACCTCAACCCTAGGACTTCACAAGAGGCCAAGACTTTGGTTAAACAGCCTCTTGTTTCATGTCTCAATCCTCCTGCAAAGCAGCTTTCCCAGGCGGTGCCCAGGTAGATTCTAATGCATACACCCCTCTGTTCCAATCCTTAGTACGTTGGGGGACAGAGAGGCAAACTCTCATTCATTCATTCAATTGCCTAATAAATATTTGTGACCAAAAACGGTTTTGTTTAGAATGTGCTAGGTGCTCTGGGTAGAGAGGCTGACACCAGCCCTGAATTTATGAAGTCAAAACAACTCATGGCATAAATAATGAATCACAATGGCGCAAGTAATTAATTGCAGTTGTGAGGCATGCTGAGAAGTCCTGGCTTGTAACAGAACGGGGCCTGGGAGAGGCTGGCTCCTTTTTCTTCCGGCACCGGCGCAGTGACCCAGTGACGAATGACAGGGTGCTGGCAGTTGATTTCCCCTGGAAGTCACGTTGCTGGTGTGGGGCAGGGCATGCTGGCTCCTGCTATTTAATAAAGAACGCTGCGTGAGTCCTAGGCAGATGGATGAGCACATATTCTTGATGGAAGAATCACGTGCCTTCCTGCATGTGAACGGATGGGAAGGGGTGGGACTGAGGTGGAGGCTGGGAAAGAGGATGGGGAATGTTGGAAGGGTCAGCTATACCTCGGTCCTCCTCTGGGAGCCAGAACGTCACACACAGTGGGTGGCTACTGGCCCCTGATGGGCACAAGGACACAGTTTGGTTTTCTCCTGAGGGAAGTGGGTCCAAAGCATTAGCACTATGATGGGGTTAGGAGCCCTGGTGGTATGGGTTATGCTTTGGGCTGCTGACTGCAAAGTCAGCAGTTCAAAACCATCAGCCACTCAGAGGGAGAAAGTTGAGGCTTTCTATTTCCATAAAGATGTACAATTCTCGGAAACCCACAGGGTATTTCTACTATGTCCTATAGGGTCGTTATGAGTCAGAATTGCTGGGTTGGTGAGTTTGGTTTTGGGTTGTAGCCCGGTGGCAAAGTGCTGGGCTGCTAACCACTGAGTGAGTAGTTCAAATCCAGTAACCGATTCTCAGGAAACCTCTGTGGCAGTCTGCTTCTGTAAAGATTTGCTCACCTCTGACCCCCCCTGGAACCATCCTTCTCTGTCCTATATGGTTGATATAGGGTCACTATATCAAGTAGATAGCGGTGGATTTTCTTTTCAGGGCGAGTATGATAGCAGGGTGTGTGTGGCTTGAAAAGGGATATTGGAACAGAGTTCTCAGGGTTCTATGCAAGAACTGTTCAGGCCCCCCCACAGCTAGGACCCCTGAGCTTGTCTTTCGCCTTTGGGGATGGAATTTTCCTTCCGGAGGGGGAGGAGCAAGGAGAAGAAGAAGAAAGGATGGAAAGTGGAACCCCAAACCAACCTTACTCACATGACCTGTTCCATTTCCTTTGTCAGTTGTCTCTCTTTATTCTGGATAGGATTAAGCCAGTAGCCTTAAAAATATGTTTTCGATTTCAATGTTTCCTCTCATGTCATGTGTTTATAAAGAAAAATAGCTGTGGTGTTTTCTTTTTAAGCATACACTCCTGACCTGGAGCTAGGTATTTATAAAATACTAGTCAGTGCTTCCCACTTACCCCTAATCATTACCAACTATTATCAATCCATTCATTCATCTAAAATGTCTTGGACAAAATGGGTACATAACCAAATGTGGTGATGAAAGCAGATGGATGGTGCCTGTTAAAAGATACAGCATCTGGGGTCTTAAAGGCTTGAAGTTAAACAATCAGCCATAAGCAGGGAAGCAAATAAGCCCACACGGAAAAAGCACACTAGCCTGTGTGATCATGAGGTGTCGACTGGATCAGGTATCAAAAGATCCAAGACAAACATCGATGCGAATGAGGGGGTCAGAGTGGAGACCCAAAGACCATTTGAAGACAACTGGACATCCCCCTCACAGTAGGGTCACAAGGAAGGGATGATTCAACCAGGGTGCAGCATAGCACTGACAAAACACACAACATTCCTCTAATTCCTGAATGCTCCCCTCTCCTCCCTCCACTATCATGACCCATTTCTACCTTCCAAATCTGGCTAGACTGGAATATGCACATTGGTACAGATAAGAGCTCTTGACACATGAAATCCAGGGCAGATAAAGCCCTCAGGAACAGTAGTGGGAGTAGCAATACCATAAGGGGAGGGGGAGGGGGAAGGGGAGAGGGAGGGGAAAGGGGGAACTGACCACAAGGTTAGATATATAAAACCCACCCACCCCTCGGAGGGGGACAAATAATAGAAATGTGGCTTAAGGGAGAAAACAGATGGTGTAAGATATGAAATAACAATAATAATACATGTGATCAAGGATTCACAAGGGTGGGAGGGCTGAAGAGGGAGGGGGAAAAAGAGGAGCTGATACCAAGGGCTCAAGTGGAAAAAAATATTTTGGAAATGATGATAGCAACCTATGTACAAGTGTGCTTAATACAATTGAATGATGAATTGTTATAAGATCTGTAGGAGCTCCCCAATAAAATGATCAATAATTTTTTTTTAATGTCTTGGAATTGGGTGAGGTTTGGGGAGAAAGCTAAACTGCCATTTCCCAGTATCTTTCAAGGTTTGTAAATGTTCTACTCTCCGTATTAAGAGCCCTGATGCTTAGTGAACTATGTGTAGGGCTGCTAACTGCAAAGTCACCTGTTAGAAACCAACAGCCTCTTATGGGAGGAAATCTTGACCTTTACTCCTGTCAAGGTTCCAGTCTCAGAAACCCACAGGGATAGTCCTCTGTCCTCTGGGGTCTCTTATGAGTTGGAATTGACTTGATGGGTGAGCTGAGAGACTCACCGTGTAGCCCTGCTGACACAGTGAGTTAATTTTTAGGCTGCCAATGTACGGTTAGTGGTTCAAGTCCACCAGCCA